CACCGAGGACCTATCCACGTCATCATTTACCCAGAATGCTTTGTGTGTGAACAAAATGGCTCAGTTCGTGTTAAAATATATTTTTAAAAGTTTACAAAACTAAACATCCTACAGTATTTTTACAATCTTTATTTTACAGTTAAAATAAATGTTTATCAAATAAAGTCTAATGTTACAACTAATCGTGGATCCCTTTAAATTCTCTGCACAAACTGTCGATATTCCCCTCTACTGGTTAAGATCCAAGACACTGATAGTAAAACCAAGTGCATATCAAAGTTCCTTTTATTTTTCTTTAATAAAGGCCTGAGGAAGACTGGTGACTGGCTACTTACCAAACTGCACATTATTTGAAGTTCAAAACTTTATAACATAAATATGATGCACAACTGCCTTTCATGTCATTTTTGTAATATAACATTTTGTTTTATCCCTTTCGTTTTTGGTTTAAAATTATCAGTGATGAATTTGTCACCAAGTGTTTCTCAAGGAACATTTTAATAAGCACCAACACCGTGAACTTATTCATCCAACTGGCCGAATACATGAGGGGCTCCATTTGATTGGTGAAATACTTCAAGCTTCTGTCTGAGTGACAAAACTCATAAATGCAAACGTTTGAGACAACCATTCATTGCAGTTTAAGCAGTTTTTTGTGATATGTCTACTGCTCAGGCTGTTATCACAATGACAATAAATATTCGATATATTGTGCAGCCCTAAATCAAGCAAATATGCGGCTTTTGTTTTGAAAACCGTGGACTTGTCCATTTCAGTGAGGGGCAGTGATTTGTGATTTTATATATTATATATATATATATATATTATAATGAGTTGTAAATGTGTGAAAATGAATAAATTATGTGACTGCTATAATCACAGATCATGCCAAGTTGCTTTTAACAATGGTGCTTTTCCAGGCGGGGTGCTATTTTCATCACAACACCTACATCCCCACACCACCTTCCCAAATAGATCAGAAGTCATTCAGTTCATCTTTCCACTATTGCATTTTATTTTGAAGGAATTACAAGGTGGAAGTGCTTTCCAAATAGAGATAGCAGAAAATACTGAATGCTGAAGACCATTAACAACATCTTTCTTATTTGACATTATGTTAAAAACACACTTGGAATGCTCCAGAAAAGCAAATTAACTATTTCTGCCTTTGTAGACATGTTCAAACCAGCTGGTCCCTAACTGTCTGCTTCTTACCCTTCTAATCTCCATTGATGCAGTAAATCTAATTCTGCATTGCAGTTTATATATTATTAAACAAACACTTATGTTTTAACAATTATGTTTTAATTATTCAAGGTAGAATGTTTTCTAATTATAATCACTCAAAGGCTTTGGTGATTTGTCTTATTATGTAATTACATGTCATTATTAGGTAACTGAACTGCTTTTTGTGTGGTTTACCAAGAAGGGGGTGGGCCATATAAACTAATAAACAAATAATGCTTATGACACTAAAACCTAACATTATATTTTGCTGCTGTTATTGATACCGAAACCAGTCTTTATGACCAAATGTGTTTCACAAGAGACCAAAAAATAAACTCACTAAGCTATTTAGTAAATACTCGTGAATAAGTGCTAAATGCAATCAGTTGTCAGTTTGCTCATAGTATAAAATATAAACAGAAAACTTGAAAGTACCATGATGGATAGCTAAACAGTTAGCATAACCAAAGCTCCGTCGTAGATGGACATTCATGAGCAGATATTACCAAGTTCTGACCGACTTCCTGATTTTTAACATCCTTATTTTCATATCAGCGTCAGTTACTAGCCATATGTTAAAATGCTATTTTGTATTCTGTTTGTAAAGTAGCTTAGCTCCGCTGCTAGCACCACTAGCTGCCAGTTCTGGGGGAGGGGAGTCGGCTAACATTATAAGCTAAAGCTCTTATCTTCGACATCCAAACGTCGTCTTCAGCAACAGCTCCTTACCTTACAAAAGTCAGAGCAGAACGGTTCGCTGTCGGCTCCGAGTTCGTCACCTGAGTAGCGGCTTAAGAGACTCTGTAATTGTTTTTCTAGTCCCTCTGAGTCGTTCCCACTGCTCCTTTCCGCCATACTGACCGTCTAGCCCTGCTCGTAGCTGCTAGCACAGACATCGCCATCATTCACAGCGCTGATTGGACAGGGCTTAACGGTAAGTGGTGAGCTCCCTTAGAGCACCAGTGTACGCCGTAAGGGGGCTAGTTGAGGCGGTGCTCTGAGAAGTCGCCTTTAAGAAACTAACCCCGCCCATGCGGTGTTTACCGAAAACATATACATGTGCCACAAAACACATGGCAGACAGACACAAACAGCATTTTATCAATTTGCGTTCAGGTTCAATTTTACAAATGTGGAAAAACGCCTATTTGCTAAATCTTAAACTAGTAACGCTGATACGTATTCATATAAGAAAAACCCATGTCAATCCCATTAAACTTTTATCTACGATTCAATTATTTTTGGCATTTTGATGAACATATTTTTGAACGTTTATCCAGCCATTTTTAAATGTTGCGTTAATGTACACTTCCCTTTGATATTTGAGCAGTAAAATGTACAAAAAAAATTATATTTAATAAGTGTGAGGAAAAAAGTCATTAAAATATTGTATCATGTTTCTAAATATGTTTGTATGCTCATTATGAAATTTACATTTAAGATATTTACATTAGAATTATAATTTTCACTTTTAGAACTGCAGCCTGTGTTCATTTCAACTAGGTTTGCCAGCACAGGTCACATTTGCACCAAAAGCTGTTTGCTGCATCTTGTTATGACTATTTATTGGAAGTGAAAAGGCTTTTGTTTTGGAACGTTATGATGTACACAATAATTACAAACAATTAGTGAAATGCTTTGTTTAAACATGCATGCGTGGGTTCTCTCCAGGTACTCCGGCTTCTTCCCACAGACCAAAAACATGACTGTTAATGTTAAATGTGGTTAATTGATAACTCTAAATTGTCCCTAGGTGAGAGTGAGAGTGAATGGTTGTTTGTCTCGTTTGTCTCTATGTGYGGCCCTGCAACCTGTGCAGGGTGTACCCCGCCCCTCACACTGTGGCTGCTGGATATGGGCACCAGTGACCCACGCAACCCAGAAAGGAAAAAGCGTGTACAGAAAATGGATGGATGGATGGCTTTGTTTAAACTTTATTTAGTCACACACATTCATTAAAGAACAAAGCAGCTTTAGAAAATATTATCTTCTTGACAAAGCTAAGATTCAACAATCCAGACTTCTTTCACAGTTACATTACAGACTTTGTGCTGAAATAAAAAAAGGAAATAAAGTAGCACTGACAACATACGCCTATATACAGCAACTCTATTTGTTGTATTTCAGAAAAACGTGGCTTTACGTTCTTCAATGTTTTTATGCTTTATACATAAGGCAAAACTTATGCATGCATCTCAGATGAAAGCACAACACAAAAAACCTTCAACGAACCCTTATAAAAAAAATAAAAAGCTGCCAGCTAATTATTAACTTACAAAAGATTTAATTCCAACTCTAGAAGTTTGTACTATGATAAGCTGCAAACTACAAAATGTTAAGAATTTGCTAAGTTCTGGTTTAAGACTGATTTAAAACAATAAAAAATGAACCAAAATTTTAACTAAAAACAAAAATAACCCCAAGCTGAAGAAGAAAAAGAGAAATTAAGACATGTTAGCTAATTTGTTTGTGATTATTGTTTGAGCTGATCACATCTCATCAGTAGACTCTGACATGGAGCGCTCTCTCTTCTCCACGCCCGTGACAAAGTTGAGCAGGTCGACGGCGGTCACCACACCAAAAACCATCTGCTTMAGGACAGCGGAGCCGTCTGTCAGGTCTGAGGGAGGAGAGGATATAAAATAAAAAATGAAAAAAGCTGATATTAGCATGAAACACAAGGGCTGGATCTGGATTATGGTGCGTTCACACCGAACGTGATTTCAGCATCAGCTGAAAGCGCGATTAGAGCAGCGCCTCAAGCGCGATTAGAGCAGCGCGATTTGAACGATTTGAACAATTTGAACGATCTGAGCGTTCGACGCGCTGAGGCGCAAATCGCTGAAGTTAGAAAATCTGAACTTTTGCAGCTCGTCGCGCAGCATCAACCAATCAGAGAGACTCCACTGTGTGACGTAGTGACATATTTCCCGACGGGACAGTTTACTGAATGATGTCCACTAACCTGAAACAGACAGAGCTCCTGCTCTTTAGCTGAAATGAGTGCCTGCAGTCGTGTCCTGATCCGCAGCAATGCGTGGCAGCGACTCATCAGACTGGAAAAATAGTCCTGAAAGCGAGCTGTGAGCCTCTACTCTGAATTATCTGGTGAATTAATTATGAATTAATTATCTGATGAACGTGACATGCTCTGGCTCTCTGTAAATAAAACAAAGCCACTTCCTCGTCCGACATTAAACAGAGCCCGACAGAGGAGGGAGGGGCGGGGAGGCTSTYSCCGTGCAGCGCTTCAAGAGCTGACCTGCGTCTGACCTCAAAGTGCACAAGCTTCAAACTTCAGCGTTGGCTGCGATTTTGAAGCTGAAATCGCGTTCGGTGTGAACGCAGCATTACAAAGCAACAAATAAGACTACAGATCAGTTTAAAGTGATTTTATATATAATAAGGTAGAAAAATAGTTTTTAATGTCCCAACATAAAAGGATGTGGCAAATTTTCAATATTGTGATCCATATGTTTAAATAATTCAGACTTTAGTAAACAGAAACACCCAAAAACATCAAAAACATTTTTGTGTTTACTTAAATCTTCCAGACTATGAGGACACGCACAGATTGTCTAAACTTTCAGTGACATAATCATCCTGCTGCTGGACTTTGACATACGTATGATCAATGGAAAGATGACCGACTGAACCAGACCAACAAGTGTTGTAACAAGTGTGAGTTTGGTTGAAGGACGAGTTTAAAGGGCGACACCAGAGGAGAAACTGCACGTACTCCCTCAGTCTGTGAGCCACAATGTAAACAACTGTTGACAGTATTTGGTAGCAGTTCTTGGTTATCCTGTGTCTGGTTAAGTTGCTACACACTGAAACTTACACTGAATCTGTTCGTGTACCACCAGAGCGAAGTGGTCAGTCTCCAGGATGCGGGACAGCTTTCCCAAACTGTCAGTCAGACGGATCTGTGAGTGAAAACACAACGTTAGGAGGTGTAAGAGAATAAAAACACCCACTGAGCTTCAGCTTCCTTTAGCTTAGCAATCCTTCAATCTGATTTTCATGTCAGAGCTTTAGACCAATGTTGAAAAATGGAGTTGTGAATGACTCCCAGCTACAACCACACCAAACTGTAGTATACCTGTAAATCTGATCAAATTACAGACATTTTTGTGTTTTCAAAGGTCAGTTGGCTGTGGCAGCCATCTTGAATTGGGTTGACTTCAAAAGYTAAATCAGATGTAAAGCGACATCCAAAGATTATTATCTGAAAGTCCTTAAGATCTGTCCAGTGATTAGAGAGATATTTTCCTAACAAATGAGCTCCAAATTGCAAAGTTTTAAACAAAAACACCCTGCATAATCAGGTATCCAGCATCTGTGTTGGAGATGTGTCTCAGCTACAACACCAGCAAATCTTAGCTAAATGTAAAAACTGACTGAGGTAAAAGTATTTATATGCTTTAAATTCAGGTAGCTGCAGCAGCCATCGAGATACTTTCAGGATATTGTCAAAGACATAAAAGACTCAAATTTGCCTTGCATTTCCTGTACAGCTGTACAGGAAATGCAAGGCAAATTTGAGTCTTTTATGGTTAGTCTGCAAAAAGTGTTTTGAATGAGATTCACTTATTCAAAGTAGGGGTCGACCGATACATCGGCCGGCCRATATTTTTGGCCGATATTTGCGTATTTTCCTTWTATCAGTATCGGCCGATATGTCCGTCCRTKTGGCCGATCCATTCTTTGGGTCACRCGAGCGCATGTTGCCTCCCYCTCCCTGGGAGAGAGCSGCTGGTAATGTCATAAGACAGAGTGCTAACAACAATRAAGGTGAGTTATGAACTGTAAATGTGTTTTAACTGTCTAATTTAGCTGTTTCTACCCTCTGTGACAGAATATGAGAGGTAGAGAGAACAGCTGTGTGTTTAAGTTTCACTTTCGCGGACAGGAGTGCCGCCATGTTTTTACTTTCACTTTGAAGGCACACTGTAATTAGTGTGTCCGAGTTGTTTTTCTTTGAAAAAATGCTGGAACTGCTCACAGGAAGTATAGAAGAACACCTCTGTTGTTCTCCCTGCTGGATTAAAATAAAAAGCTCTGGTCTTTTCTCGCTGTTACGTTCATAGTAAAGCGCTGCCGTCCATCATGAACATATGAACCAGGCAGACGCTGCTCATATCATGTTTGTTCTGACCGCAGTATAAAAGTTATGATGCAGGTTTTCTTCAGTGTACATTTCAAACTGTGATCTAAAGTTAGCTTCAGCTGTTTAAATGTATTTTTTGCCCGGTGTAAAAAAACAGGAGCAGACTGAGGCAGAGATGCTGTGAGCGCTGTGTGTGCGTGAAGTCCTCGCAAAGATAGCAATATGTATGTGTGTCTCTCCTTTTTCTTTCTCTCTTTAGGCCTGTTGCTGTTTTTGCATAAAAAATGCTGGGATATTAAAACATAGTCATTTTGTTTTATGTAAAAATTATATTAATCTGAGTAATTTACAGATAAAAACAGAATATTTAGCACTAGATAAAATAAATCATGAATTTATTTATTTTTTAATTTTTTTTAAGAAAGGGCTGAAGGAAGAAATCCTGTGTGGCAGCACTTCATACAGCCTGCATCAGACAAGGCTCAGTTAATTAAGGTTTTTGTTTGTTTGTTTAGTTTTAAATTGGGACCTGTGTAACATTTGTTATCATTCTCATTTTTATCATGTTAATGTATGGAGGTAAATTTGTGTTTTTATGATTCAATCAAACAAAAAGCATCTTCAATCA